GTTGAGGATTATTCTGGATGCTTCTATCAGTAGTATCAATAACCCAACTATGGTATTCTAGTTTTCCTATAAAGTTAAATAAAACTGCACTCAAAGATAACAGAACAACAACAGAACAAGTCAGTAATATTTTGGCCAATAGTCACACTTTTACTGCAGATCTCTTTGTAGACACACTCACTCTGGATGCTCTCATATTCATATTCAGGCTATGCACACCATAGAAATCAATATTACCAAGATGAACCTTTCAGGGGGATTCTTAACCAACCAAAACGTTCAAGCTAATAAAAAAATAATCAGTTTCATTAACAACAAAAGGAAAAACTAAATTTTTAAATGTTCTTGATTACTGTGAACATTCGGCTTTCATTGCTACAGAAACGAGTCTGTTTTCCGATTAAAACTAGAATACAAAAGTGTTGAGCAAGCTTTTATTTCCCATGTGTCTCTGAGCCAAACAAGTGTAGAACATAAAGCCCGACATTTCACTACCAACCTGCAGTCCCACAGGTATAGGATGAAGAGAGCAGAAGTCCTAAAGGTAGAGATAAGAGCATGGGAATGTAGAAGGAAACGCACTGACGCACAGACATGGAGCTTAATTAGCTTTACTCCAACTTTTAAAAAGAGTTTTCGTTCTTCTTCACGATTTTGTGTCACTGCATTTTTCTCTTTAATAACACAGAACAATGACCCTTTCATCTCAACATGTCTCCTCTGCCACTCTTGTTCTCTCTTCTTCTTCTTACCTCTTGTAATCGCTGGATGTGTTCTCTGCAGGTCTCCAAGTCACTGTCACCAGGAACCACGATCAGTCCCAGAGGAATGGCTGCAGATACAGAGGAACAGGACAATTATCCACCAGCACTTTGATATCTACTTATACACTCTGCAGTCCTCAGGACCCTGACAGTCTAATTCTGCTCATGTAGCAGCGCGACTCAGAGCTGGGATCGCACTTAAATGTTACCAAGTATACATGTGAGCTGCAGTACTGTGGTTCCTATGGGCCAAACTGGGAACTACAAACTGTAAGTAAACACCTTCATTCAGCACAAGCAGGAGCAGAAGACGTTTTCTTTCAAATGAGTCATTGAGTCCGTAAAATGACAACATATTGGACAACTGCACATCAGATGGTTTTCATCCAGGGCCAAAATTTAGTATTTAGTGCCAAATTGATAATGGCACCAGTAACTTTTATTTGAATAAATAAGCCTGACCAAGCTGGCTTCCCATCAGTAAGCCGATGTGGATGCTGAAAGAAAAAAACCTGCCCCATGAGGCAGCCCAGGCCAGCAGCCTGCACCAGCACAACACTGCTGGCTGAACATCACACAGCTCATTGTGCTGGAAAAGCTGTCAGACTGCGTGAAGAGACACACACACACACACACTACGGTTGCTTCGCTAACAGCAGCCCAGTGAAAGCTTGACAGGTTCAAGAAAAGTGTGGCTTGTTTACTTTTTTGCTAATTGACTTCTCTCACAATATTTCGTGAAAGCAGGCGCGGACAGCGCTCTATTAGCCAGACACACCTTCAAACAGTCACCACAGCGCTGCTTTCAAAGGCAGCTGCTGCACTGACCTTTCCGAGTAACAGACAAGGCAAAAACATGTAGAACCAGTAAAACAGGCAGATTGTTTTCCAGGGAAACTGTGAAGCTTCAGACAAAGAGAAGAACGCCTTCGTTCTCAGACTGCAGTGTTTACCTGCAGTTAGCCATAATCCCAACACTTCAAAAGATCCCTGCTAGTGTTTGGAAGTGTTAGTGCGACTTACAACAGTACTTCTGCACTGTTAACTTTGCGTTTCTATTCTCTTTCTATTGTGCTGTTTTCAGTGGTTTCGATTCAGCAGCTTGCACATTCGCAATTTCTATTCTCTTTTATTTCCTATTGACTGTAAACGCAGTCACAGCTTACAGATAATAAGCTACAACTAAAAG